AAGGTGGGAGGACAATATCAGGCATGAAGCACAAGTGGCCAAAGACCGCATTAAGCGCAAGCCATTGATTTCCTGGACCTTCGAGCTAGGGTGTCTTAGTTTTAGGTAAGAACTTGGACTACAAAGCGTTTATGCACACACTAGCCCTAAGAAACTTTCACAAGTTTCTTAGGGCTGCTTTTTATTCATTATGGATGGATGGATGGATGTTACTAGCTATACCCTTTGTAACGGGCAGTAGCCCACCTAGCCTAAGTCTAAAAAGACAAAAACTTTAAATAAATGATTCCTCCCGCCCTTCTAAGACCAATTGTCTCCCCTTAACTATCACCAGGCAGTGTGGGATATCACCAGGATGACCTTCGGGGAAAAAAAACAACATCCCCCCCCCCCCCTGCTTCTTCCCCCCCCCGGCGAGGGCGTCGCCAATTTTCCTCTGGTCAAACGGCGCTACCCCAGCACTGGACCCACTGGGAGACAGGGTTGAGAGTGCGCCAGAGCCATGCAGGAAGGAGTCCCAATCTTCTCTGTCCCCACCTGTGCTAGTTAGTTTTCCCTAGATAATTTCCACCAATCTTCTAATCGCATCTTTGCCACTGTTATCCTTTTCTCTTGCCGCCAGTAAAACCCAGGGCCCCGGCCAAATCCGTTAACCCTTCAGGCAGGGCAGGGCGAAGCCCCGTGCGCTTCAAAACCAAGTGCTCTAGTGTCTCGCCATCATTATGGCAGGCGGCACGTAATGTGTTCTGTCTTGAAATTTAGCCCTATACGTCCTCGTCCTCAAAACTCCGGTTCTCACCTTGAACAGCAAAGAACTTCCCAGTGAATTGTCAAACAGTTTTTCCTTTCTTATCTCCTGCTTTCGTGACCTGTACACTATTAAAGCTGATTTCTCCTGCATTCTCCCCTCCCACATTTTCCTGTCTGCCCCTTTCACCTTCTTTTTCACAGTAGTCGTCTGCTCAACCCCATCACCAGTGAGTAGGTATTTAAATGTAAGCTTTCGGGTTTGGTTTGTCCATTTTGTGTTCAAACTTTTCATGTATAAAAACTTGAATACCTTCCGTGCCCACCGTGTATCATCCATTTCGGTCAACCTTTGTTCAAATTTCAACTTAATAATTGCCTGCCTGCTTTCTAAAGACGACCATCCCATGTCGCCCTGTACTCCCTCATTCGGTGTTTTTCAATGTGCTCCCAGTGCCAACCTGCCTGCGCTTCTTTGTCAATTTCTAATCCTGATTGAACCTCTGGTTTCATGCACAGTACTGCATTGCCAAGAGTCAGTTCAGGTACCATCACTTCTTTCCATATACCTCTGACCACTTCATATCTATTATAGTTCCATATGAATTTCTTTGCCCTTTTCTAATTATATTCCCCTCATGTTCCTCTAGATATTTCCTTCCCTCATTGAACCAGACTCCCAGATATTTGTATTTTCCTACTTGGTCTATTTCGATGTCTTGTACCCTCAGGGGTTCCCTCTTTTTGTCGTTAAACACCATTACTCCAGACTTGTCACTACTAAAACTCATGCCCAAGGTGTCCCCTTCCTCTCCACATATTCCAGCTAGTTCCTGTAATGTGTCCTGGTTACCTGCCACGAGTGCTATGTCTTCCGCATACATCAGTCCTGGTATTACCTGTACTACATTTCTCCCTCCTTCCATATAACTCGCATCGAAACCCAAGTTGCACTGCTCTCATTTCTTTTCCATTTCACCAAGATATATCATGAAGAGCAACAGCCCTGCCGGAGTCCTCTTTTTTATTGTTGCAGGATGTGTCGTTTCTACTTCCCATGTTATGACTACCTTGTGGACACCTGCTGAAGAAACCTAGCCAAATGTGTATCTAAATTATACTCCTTCAGCTGACCCCAGGGTTTTTCCTGGCTCACATTATTGTATGCTCCCTTGATGTCCAAATAAGCTAACCATTGAGGAGATTGGTTCTTCATTGCCATTTCTATACATTGAGTGGTGACGAATAGATTATCTTCCAGTCTTCTCTCTCTTCGGAATCCATTTTGGAGCTCGCCCAGTATTTGCATATCTTCTGTCCATTGCTTCATTCTATGCTTTACTATCTGCATAGCTAATCTGTATAGAACTGAAGTTACCATTATTCGGCGATACGACTTAATGCTGTCTTTGTTTCCTTTGCCTTTATATATTAGTTTCATTTTACCTAGTTTTCAATCGTTGTGCACCTCTCCTCCAATAATTACTTGGTCAATCACATGCCGTAACTTCAATTTGCTTCTTTTTCCTAGTGTCTTTGAGTTCCATGGACTTTTCTGGGGAGCCAAGGTGTCCAGACTAACGAGACAAGACTGTACTTGGTACCACTGTGGCTAGACCGTCCCCAGTTTACTTTGGCCAGCAATCCTCCTTGGCAGAGACTCAAATTCTGCTCTGCTGGCTGAGGCTAGGGAAAGATTACGGCACATTGATACTTCCGACCCATGTTGTAAAAAAAAAAAAAAAAAACTGAAAACTCCGGTATAAAAATTGCTTTTCGTGTGAGGTTTTTCAAATTATGAGGCCCTGCAGAATGCGAACAAACTCTTTGTTTGAATTCTGCCCACTGAAAAGCATGCAGGAAGGGCCTCAGCACGCACCTGGTATCGCAGTGTTCTTTCGCAGCATAAAGACAGTCTGCTTTCATAGCAGTCACCATTACAACGAACACCAATTCCAAAACGCCGTCTGCTAGCCAAAGTGTTAATAGTTCTGTAATGAGCAGCCACAGACTCTCGCCACGAATGCACGTGGGGGGGGTTGGGTTAACACGTTCTTAAGTGCTGCCTGATAGATAATTCGGCATTCATTGCCATGGTGACGGCGATGAAAGCAGCGGCCTTTTTGCTGCGGAAGTGGCGCAGCGATACGAGGCGTGTGCTGAGGTGCTTCCCACATGCTTTTCAATGGGTGGAACGCGAACAAAGAAAGTTAGAAATAAGGACTTGATGCAGAAGGCTGGTTTTCTTCTGTGCCTCATAATTTGATGAGCGTTACACAAAAGGCGTGTTTTTTCTTAACCATCCCACGCCTTTTTTTTTGCAATCCGTAACATGGGTAACATGGGCAGTATCAAACTGCCGGACTTTCCCTTTTTGAGAGGAGAGTTCCATTCCCCAACCTTGTTTTGGAGGCACATGCTTTGGAGGGAACATGGACAGAATTGTGTGGAACTAGGCTCCATGACGACATGCCTTCTTGCCGCTCGGCTGTGCCAGCTCAGAATTTTTGCCAAGAGGCCGTCAACAAGTGCCTCCAAAACCAAGTTATGTCCACTGCTTGGTGTGGTTTTTACGCGTAAAAGGTTTTTGGGGGGGGGGGGGGGGGGGGGGAAAAGGGAAGGGGGAAGGGGGGGGTGGCAGGAGCCCCTCGCCTGCTCCTGGGTCGCTCGGATCACCAGCCCTTTTTAAGGTCAAAGGTGGGCTGATCGATACGTTCAATTCCCTCTGTATTTTCATGCCATTGCCCACCTTCTAGTAGAAACAAGTCCATAAATATTTCTATTGGGGTACATGAAATGTTAAGGACCAAATTTAAAACTGCAACAATTTTTTTTTTTTTTTTGACTTTTAAGTTGGAAATTGCCTGTTGGAGCACCAATTATGAGGCACACGAGCAAATGTCACCGTTCCCCCTCAAAGTGTAGCTGGATTATCCGAGAATGCCCGCCATTGTGGCACCATCCGGTCCTGTCTCGCAGCAGTGGGCAATCTGTTCTGGCCAGGCTTCCCTCCCGATAAAAGAGAACATTGCTAAAGTTAGTGGCATTTGAATTTAAACTTTATCGACTCTGCCCTCATACAATGGAGACGAGCTAAATGATTGTTTGACCAGTTTCACCTCATCACACTTATTTAGAAATGTAATTGTCTTAAACCTCCTATTAAAAAAAAAAATTGTTATTGGCGATGCACACAACTGGTGGGAATATCGCAATATATATCATACACACAAGCTGCTGTTTTATTTAGGGTAAGTTAAGTCTTTCAATACCCGATGCATGCACCATCCCACTGTGGGAGTGTTTTTCCACTAAGCATGCAGACTGCTCTGCAGCGGAGCGAGAGATGCCGAGTTGTCAAGTCTGCTCCACGGTCGTCGCTTTTCTGCAGTGGACTAGTGCGCAGTGAGAAGAACTCGCCCCAAGAAATACTGCAGACGTCCAGAGTATTGTCGGCGTGTGATACTAAGATGAAATCGCACTATTCAAAGCCCAATCTCAAAACTTTGCACAATCCTACTGCAACAATTCGACAGTGTAGTGGAGCCTGGACAGTTAGTTTCAAAACTGAGAAAGCGAAATTAAAATTTGGTGCAACGTTGACTCAAGTTCCTCACATTTTAGTGAAATGTAACATGGTAAACATTTGTCTGGCACCAATGCTATTGCATCACTGCCATCTACGGAAGCGCTAATAAGTGCAGGGAAGTGTTCATTTTGGGCAGTAATTGTAAAGCGGCTACTGCTTCCATTGGCAAGTGGTGTCCAATTACAGCTTGCTTTAGACTCTACAGATCAAGTCAGCAGCTGGCATGAAGGAATACGGCAAATCTGACTGACGGTACTTGGAAAGCTCCAGACACAAGTAACATTTGGACGAGCTAAATGCACTTTTACCCAAAAATGACACCTTTGATTTGACATCTACGATGGATATGTTGGAAACACTAAATCAGTTGGCCAGTAGAGTACTTTGAGGTGCGCTTGTTGACGGATCAAAAACCAGCTAAATGACAATCTTGCAAATCTACCAACATGAACAAAAGCCCCGATTCTGGAGGGTGGGGAATTGTAGAAGGAACTTGTGCAGAGATGGGTGCGCATTTGTCTGGTTGATGCAGTGCAATTTCTCTGAGACGGAGGAGCCTTTTACGCCTGCTATAGTCGATTATTTTGAGTGTGCATCATGGAAAAAAAAGGTTTTTGGGATTCCAAAATGTAGCTTTTCTGATGGCTGCCTGGTGGCCATGCAGGGCACTGTGTGCCCAGCATGCTGTCTCTGCGGGCGTCGGACTACCTGGGCCCCCAGGTGCTGTGCAGCAAGGGCGAGCCGGGTGAGGAGGTACGCAAGGTGCGCAGTGCTTCCGAAGGCCGCTACGAGTGGCCGATGAGCCTGCCCGTCGAGGGGGCCGAGCCCCTGCCCTGGTTCCGACCCCGAGAGCCCCTGTATCCGCCGCCGGCCTACCAGCGCTACCCCCGCTACACGGTGCCCTACCGTCCCTTCCCCGAGGGCCTGCCCTTCCCGGCTGAGCGGCCCACCAGCCCCCCCTACTATCGGGGCGGCAGTCTCAAGCACCGCATCCTGCACCCGCCGCCCAGCATCCGCATCGTGGAGCCGCCGGCCGCGCTGCTGGCCGCTGCCCCGCTGTCGGCCCCGCCCATTCCGCTGGCCGAGGGGCCCCGGCTGGCCGTGTCTTCGATGCACCCACCGGGGGGGGCGTCCCGCCTCCACTACCCGGCCTATTTCCTCAAGGGCTCCATCATCCAGCTGGGCACGGGCCTGCTCAAGAAGGTGGAGGACCTGCACACCGAGGACTTTGTGACCAGTGCCAACGTGAGCAGGGACCTGCGCATCGACTCGAGCCGGGTGCTCCAGATGGCCACGGGCGACTCGGTGGCCACGCTCAGCTTCTCCGTGGGCCAGAACCAAGTTCAGGTGAGGAGGCTTCAGCCGAGGAACGGGCGCAGCCGACCTCCGGGCCTCTTGCAGGTCACGGTCGAGGCGCCCGTCGAGCACCCCTTCTTCGTCTTCAACCGGGGCTGGTCCTCGTGCAACCCCGAGCGATCGCTGCAGCGCTACCGCCTCCAGTGCCAACGCCTCTCGGTGGGCGACGTGTGCATCTCGCTCACGCACCGGGCCGCCAAGTCTCTCGACGCCCCCCCGTCTCGGGGCGATGCCAGGGGCGCCCGATCTGCGCCCAAGACGGACCCCATGAACCCCCTGAGCATTGGAGCCCAGTCGGGGGGAGCGCGCAAGCGCCGCTGGTCGGCCCCCGACCAGGTCACCACCCACGCGGGCCTTCCCATGCCCCAGCGGACAGCCACCACGTGACTCTCTCCGCCTTTTCCAAAGACTCTAGATTCTGTAGCCACTTCCGAGCTGCCCGCATTACCAGGCTCTCCACTCATCTTTCAAACTGATGTGCCAGCGAGCCTGCTTTTACAGATGGAGGCAGAATTGCTTACTTTGAGGAACGTTTGTATCTCTATTTTTGCCCAATAATGCTTTTTAGACACTGGTGGCCAAGGAATCTCCCTCCACCTTTGTTCACAGGCGGTGTACAAAAGCAGGCTGACAAATCTGGGTATGATCTCCCCAAAGCGAGCTGCAGGTACCCCGCAATCGCGGCCAGACAGAAATGCGCGCAGAATGTGTCTGCCAAATCTAAGTCATCCGAAGGACACAACTGCAACGGACGAGTCGTCAACGATCTCACAAGCCCCCACTAAATGCTGAGCAATTCCGAATTCTGATCCCAAACTGCTTCAGCCAGTGGGGGGACAAAAAGAGCACCCTCGGGAGCAAACACAAGCTCAAAAAACTCTTGCCACAGGAAACCATGCTGGTCATGGAAATGTTGCCTTTTACCACCCCATCTCTTAAGTACCCTGCTGCATTTTGTAGAGGATTCGTAGCTATTGTGTAAGCCCCCTTCATAAAAACAATTTGTATGGTTGTTTGTTGTGTTACATGGAGTCTCAAGCATGCTGCGTGACTGCCAAACTGGTGTTTTGAAAAGAAAAAAAAGCTCTCCTGTGTTCATAAAGAAGTTGCAGGGCTCGCGTCAAGGGATGCTGAAAATGAGTGTATTGAAAGATGCTGATGGAGCCTAGGGTTGCCTTACTAGCATTGTTGCATGTACAGATGGATGCACAATCAGTTTTATTACATGTGGAATGCCAAACAATGCAATTGAGTGATAATTTGGTCCATCCAGGGACTTGAGTCATACGACCTGCTCACCTGATCTCAGACACCAAGTGTTCCCTGTGGAAACTAAGGCGGGGGAGCGGTAATCCTTCCTAAGCTGCATGTTGTACGTTTGCGTGCAAGTGTTAATGTTGGCCAGCTTGTTTACCAGAAATTAAACCAGTGTTGACTTCTTGCAATGCCTGGACCTCATGTGCCCATCCTTTGCTAGAGATCACGAGGGATCTCTCTTCGTAAAGTCGGCAGAGCTCCCACTCTGGGAGACTCCGAAAAGTAATCCAATGGTGGCAGCCTCCCACTACCTTAATTTCAGCACGCAGGGCGAGTTTACCTCACTCGCAAATGTGGTCAGGCCAGGAGATAACCTTGGCCAGAGTAACCAATGCTTCATAGTCTTTCTGTTCTACTTGCTCACAGTCGTATCTCCTGTGCAGCTCCAAGCAACAAAATGGCAGCACACACACGTCAAACAAATTCCGACTCGAAGGAGGGTCGGATAACGAGAGAAAAGAGTGTCGAAGCTCTTCTGAGTGACTCGTGGCCCACATGCGAGATGATCCCTGCAGTCAATTTGATGAGAGAAAAACAATATTGCCTCAATGTTTGTACCACCTTTGAGAGTATTTTCAGTTGTAGCACAATTTCCAGTCCAACACACTGAGCCAGTCTGCAGCACTTGGCCAGAAGCCACCTGGACCCAACAGGTCTCACCAGTGCCTCGAAAGGCTTTGCAGCCCTTCCCACCCAGCTGTCGCTCCGTGCCGCACACTTGAGGGGACGTCAGGGCTGCAGGTCGTCGTCTGCTTCCTGCTCATCTGTGCTCAGCACTTGTGCACTGGCCAGGATGTGGATCCGTGGATCCCCTTCCATCTGCGCCAGCTGCTCGGCCGTCGCCTGGACCACCTGAATGTCGCCGTGCTCCGTGCGGATGATCTGGGGGGGAAGCGATCAGACACTCACCTTCTCCACTTCTTTGACACCAAATACACATTGCTAGGGCACAAACAACTTTTTCTCACTACTCAAATGCCATCACCCTGGGCGCCAAGATTGGTTGTACCTCAATGCACCGAGCACAATGGGAAAAGGCCCTGGGATCAACTTGCTCGCTGCTTTTTTGCTCCACTCAAGTGATGGGCAGCACCAAATGTTGGAATGACAAAACAGTCTCTTTGCAAACCATGTTAGAGCAGCAAAAGGAAAAAGTTTCTCTGGCGACTAGTTGTAGTGAGAAGTCTCCCGGGGAGGGAAGGCCTCCGCACAGGACCCAAGAGGGAGGAGGAAACGACCACCGCCCTGCTGTGCTCGATGTTGCCCAAGTGTGCTTCGATTCGGGCAAGGCTTGGCCAAACTTTGGCAGATCCGTATCGTATGCACGCACAGAGCAGTCTGTCTGTGCTGGGAAAGCTGTGGCAAAGCTTTGCTCGGAAATGAAGCACAATTTGTGCTCTATGAGCCCTCTTCAGGGCCAATGGGGCAACAGCAGGTGCACAAAGAAATCCAGCAAACGGCAGCACTGGAGACGTTGCCATTAAAGGAGCTATGCAACCATTTTAACCTTGAAAAAATTTGCATCTTCTACTTTTTATTCTTTACCTTGTCACAAAGAACAAAAAACACATCTTCGGAATGGTGCGATTCCGCCGCATAATCGCGGGGCAAAACTCGAAATATTTCCTGACCTGCAGTCGCAAGTGGTGGCTGGAGTGGGATAGCTACTGTCCACGGTTGCCGGCTGCAAGGGTTTCGAAAGGCTCCTGCATCGCCGCAACAAAGTGGAAACCCTCGCAGCCGCCAATGGGACCGTTCTGCACCTTGCACTGCACCAGTCTCCCTACAGAGCCAACTTGTGGGAACATCCCAATCCAAGAAAGCGACTTGGCCAAGTGCTCAATCCAAGCTGACCACAGAGTAACATTCTAGATGTAAAATGATGCGTGTATAAAAAGCACCCATGATTGGCTTTGCCAAATTGGGTCCCCCCCCCCAGGGAGGAGGACAAAAGAAGCTGTCTGGACCTCTTTGCAGTGCCCACCTGTGGCTCCATGGAGGCGATGCGGGCAGCCATGTCCTCCGAGAGTAGGGTGATGGGCACCGAGGATGCCGAGCCGAGCTCTGCCAGCACTTGGCCCCGATGCCCCGCCCCCTGGGGTGCCCTGCAACAGGAGCTCAAAATCTGTATGCCACCCTGCACTAGAGCCCCTTCATGTTTCAAAAGTAGCACAAAGTTTGTCGATGCACGAGGCCTGTGCAACGTGCAGCCCTTTGGAAGCACTGATACAGTGGCACAGAGCTGGATTTTAGACGCGATGTTCTTCCCAGAAGTGGCACGCACCACGTGTCTCGAGCGGGTCCACGACAAAGAATGGCGCCACTTTTCCCAGGAGAGAGGGGCACCCCCTAGTGGCACAAGCTTTCCTGGCATGTCATTAATATCCACTGTGTCTACTGGTGGAAAGGCGCCATCCGACGTGTTGGGTTGCCCGCTTGTGCCCTTCCCTTTGCTCCGCTGCTCATGAGGGGGAGCATCCCAATTACCGTGGAATCTCGTTAATACCATACTGCGTAATAAATTTTTCGGTATAATGCATTCTTTCTTTCATTCCCGGTGGATGCCCCATAGGAACAATGTACTTTTATACAGCTAATACTATCATATTTTCACTTGGGATTGGATAATACGACTACATAAATGGGCTCTCATGGGAAAATATACCTGTACATTCCAGTTACTAGCTCGAATCACAATCTAACAAGCCACCAACGACCCGTTGCACGACTGCGGAAGTCACGGTCAGCCTGGCGCCGCGGCTCTGAGAAGTCGCAGGTTGCGGCCATCATATCACGAATGCCATAGCCGCAGTTGCCGCCGCTAGAGAGTTGCAGTTAGGACTAGGCTAGTCTATCATGGCTGCCAAAGCATCCAGTCGGGCGGTATTGTGTGCCTTCAAGCAAAAAGTAGGGCACATTTTCAAGCATGTGACCACAAAAAGTATTCGTAGAGAGCCTAGATTGAAGAGAGGGTCCATCTCGCACAAGGGAAGCATTTGCAATTTAATGACGGACACCTCCTGCGGCGATCGGTCGCAAGTGCACATGCGCTGCATTTTTGCAAGCAAGGAGAAAAGCAGGAGGAAAGGCGGCTACGTTTGCAGGCAATGAACGCCTTTGCCTCTTTGTCACAGCTCATAGTGCAAGTGTGGCCCATAAACCACGTGACCTCGATCGGGCAGTTGGAAACTCTCGGTGCGGTGCGTCCATCGTGAGAACTTGCCTTTCTTGTCCACTCGTTTCCCACGCCTTCCCCTTTCTTCTCTGGTTAGATCGTCATCAGGCGTGCTGTTCTCCGTTCCTCCCTGCTGTATATAGTGCTTGTCCCGTTTACTTCTTGTCCTTTTTGTGCTATTTTATATGTTTAAGATGAACCAACTAGTCCAACAACATACCCTACTGGACATTAGTTAGACCCGAAGAAGCGTGTAGATCTGGCACACGAACTTGGTTTGCCATTTTTACGCTCAACACTATCTTCGGCAAGCGGGAAGAGATTCGTAAGAAGCTCCAAGTCTTGGGTGCCGGCATAAAGCAAACAAGAGATGCAGAGCATGACCAGATGGAAGAGATCCTCCTAGCTTGGTTCAAGGAGGTATGGGCCGCAGGTGCCGACGGGAAAGTTTTACGCGAGAAGGCCGATGAAATTGCGCCCTCCTTGGACATCCAAGGAAGCATCAGGTGGATGGCTGCACCGGTTGAGGGCATGACACAGTTTGTCCTACAAGACAGTTTCTGGCCAAGGAAAGAACGCGGGTGCAGCGGTGGCTTCCAACTGGATGTTAACTTTGCCAGGGCTGATTTTGCAATACTGGCCACAGGATGCGTTCAACGCGGACGAAGCAGGCGTCTTCATCAACCTCCAGCCCGAGAAAAGTCTCGGCATGAAGGGCGAGACGTGCCGAGGAGGAAAGAAAAGCGAGGAAAGAGTGACGGTCCTTTTCTGTTGCAACGCAGATGGAAGCGAGCAACTGAAATTGACTGTTATCGGAAAGTTCTGGAAGCCGCGCTGCTTCTCATGTACTCCGCCTCTTCCAGTCATCTACAAGGCCAATAAAAAGGCATGGATGACTGGTGCTTTCTTTTCAAAGTTTCTCACTGGTCTTAATTCCAAGATGTGTGCTAAAAACAGGAAAATTTTACTGTTTCTGGACAACTGTGCCACACACCCGGTCGACGTCGGCTGGCTTTGGAACGCGAGAGTGATTTTCTTACCAGCCAACACCACCGGCCACTTGCAACCCCTGGATGCCGGAATTATCAGAAACGTGAAATTTAATTTTCAAAGCTTGCCGGTAAGGCGGCTTTTAGCCAAGATCGTACAAAAATATGCCAACCTAAAGATTGATCTTCTTGACGCCATTCACTTTTTGCCGATGTCCCAAGATCGTGTGAAATCGCAAATTGCTTCGAGAAACGTGGATTTTTTGGTGCACGCGACGATGCCCAGAGCGTTGAGGAATACGACGGCAACTATGGTGTGCTTGAGATCCTGAACTGGGATCACTTGAACGTAAACATTTCCCCAGAAGAATTCGTGTCAGCAGACGATAACCTGACAACGTGCGAGTTGCGCACTGTGCAAAAAATCCTTGCGAAGGCCACCAGCGGGACCGCCGAAGACAGCGATTACAAAGACACGTGAGGGCTCGGAGACTCTGGGGATCGTCGTGCGCCAACTGCAGGCAACACGTTCACGTCGCAAATGCCGAGCTGAGCGACCAAACTGGGGATCTTTTCTTAACTTTCAAAAAAACTTACTCCTGGATATTGAAAAGAAAAACGTCCAGTGCCCGTTGACAAACTATTTCAAGGTTGCAGGATCAAAGCAAGTTTCTCACCAGGTATGCATTTTTATGGCTTTTTGGAGCATGCTAGCTCAATACGATTTTCGGGTAATACGTTTCCTTTCTCGGTTCCCGTGAAAATGGTATTAACGAGATTCCACTGTAGCTAACAGGCGTGGATATTTGCTTACCATTAGACAGCTTTTTTTTTCTTCATGGTTTACAGATTTCTTTTAAACGAAAGCTACACTTGTGTCATCCGTGCAGGTCATTTAGAAAGGGCGGCTAATCATCACGATGAGTAGGCTAACTAACTCAAGTTTCTTCATTAACTGTTAATTAGTACCAATAAACTTATGATTCCAAATCTAAACTTGCAGAGCGTCATCGAAAACCACCAAATAAGTAATAGAAGGACTGAGCTCATGGGAAGCGCAGTACCCAGGTGGCGGGTTCGAATCCCGGCCGAGGCGCCCCCAATCTGACTGAGGCTTATTGCGGAGAAGGCGATGTGGAACCGAGCTTTTGGTTGCACGTCCAGGGATGGAACTGGGCAAAGCATCTTGGCAGTAGAAAAAGGTTTGGAGCAGGCTGGGAGCAGCAAACACGAGGTCTTGGAGCAAGTTAGGAGCGGTGCAAGACTTTTAAGAATGCTAAAATAGAGGCCAAATGTTGCTTTCAAAAACTTGAGGAAATATGGCATACAGATAACTGGATGCCATACAATTAACATACATACAGTTAACGTTTTATTTGAAACATTTTTCAACAAATTACACGAAAATTGCACAAAATATATAAAGCAAAACTGCACGACAGTGTGACACGTGATGGACTTGCAAAGAGGTAAATATAAACAAAGAGGCAGAAATAGCTTTCAGCTCGTACCTTGCTCCGTCATACGCCTCACTGCTCGCGCGCCTCTCTTACGTTCCCAAGTTTTCTGCGCGGGGCTTCAGGGCGGGCATACACCTTCCCATAAAAGCGGATTAGGGCACGTTCATTGCTGTGTTTTGTGTGTTATTCACTCGCAGTTTCTGGCTGGCCGCAATTGCAAGCGAGCGCTGGCTGGACTGATTTGGCACATGTGGACACTGCATGTGAACTGTTAATTTTTGTAAACAGTGGAAGTAGAGCCATGATAATAATAATTGGGGTTGTGTGGATATTTATACAGCGTGCAGTTGGTCAACAGCCAAGAGGGAGGCATGCCAACTTAAATACATTCGAGTTTATCGCAGTATGGCAGCGCCTCCACTATTCCAATGAAGTGACTCCAGGACTCCAGAAAAGCACACAGCAACGGCAGCCATACTTTGTTTCAGCTTGTGTCCAGACGCACTCAATGCTACAAGCGCTAGCATGTGGCCTTGAACAGTGCAGTGGCCGAGCCCGCGCTCTTGGCAGGGATGCTGAAGGCCCGGAGCTCGCGCCTGTAGCATCGTCTGCATGTGGACTTGGACAAAGCAGAGGAACAGCGAATGGCTTCAAAAGAGGTCTGGGGCCCTAAACACGTCAAACACAAAGTTGGGGTCGAAGTGGACGGAGTGCACCGATAGACCATTTGCTATATTACCCAAGCATCAAGGAGAATGCAGGGATTGGTGTTTCACGCGCCTCACGTGCTTTCCTCAGCAGTAGCAATTTTTCTAAAGCAAATACCTAAAACAAATGGCTTCTTGCACGCGCGTTCGTCAGCGCTTTATTTTAGTTATTTCCTTCAAATCTTTTATACAGAAAAAGTGTGTGGCGCGTGGAACAGCAATCCCTGCATTCTCCTTGATGCTTGGGTAACACTGCAATAGGTCTATTGGACAGTCATGACGATGACTTTGTGTTTTTGTCGCCAATTTCCAATCAGCGTGCTCTGCGAACTTTCGGCTTTGTGTTTGACGAGTTTAGGGCCCCTGGTAGCAGAAGCATCGCAATGAGGGATGCTGTAACGACTGTTATAAGCTGAAACAAAGCCTAACCATGCCAGCGACCGCTGAGCCAGCGACTTTTGGATACAGAGCTTGGGATTCGGATTCAGATCCACTGGCGTTCCCTTTGGGCCGGAAGTTCCGACGTCAATGTCGCCAACAGAAATTGCGAAATGGCTAATTTGGACGAGGATCGTTTATCATTTCAGTTTGGGCGCACTTTGGCGCAATTTCGTTCTTATTTATACTTTTGTATCACTGTGGCGCACGAAAAGTCAATAGGTGCACAATGGCGCAATCGGCACAGCAGTTCCATCCCTCCACGTCACAAGAGTACCAAGTGGTCGAAATTAATCCACAGTCCTCCGCTGGGGCATGCCAGATGCCTGTCGTTGGTTTGGCCCGTAAAGCCCCAAAATTTGATTTTGGAAGCGTACCAGTGCGCTAAAGTTACCCTCTGTGCAACAGACACAAGGCTACCATCAGGGAGGGAAAATCCGCGCATTATCCCACTGGTAGTCTCCCTTTTCCTGCACGAGGGGTAAACTCCACCGTGCTTCCCACGTTCTCAAAGTCTTTCTAACACGGTTTTCAATGACACTCTGCAAGTTTCTAATTGGAACTATATGTTCATTTTTACCAATTAAGAAGTTAATTAGCCGACACTGCAATGATCATTATGTCCCCCTGGCCATATAACTGACCAGCACAAACCGCACTAGTGTAGCTTTCAGTGCTTTTTTTAAACGAGCCTGTTAGAAATAAAAAGAAACACCCAATTCTAAGAAAAGCTGTTCCAAAAAGAAAGTCGACCTGCTATACTCGTTTTCACCTCAAGAAAAAAACAAGTTTTGCGCATTAAGGCCCGTTCACACTCTTGCAACCGAGTACGACCGAGAGAGACGAGATCTGTTAAAACTTCTTAAAATTTCTTAGGACGAGAGAACACACTGGCACGCTGGCACCATCTATGTGGTGACCCTGCAACTGCATTTCACAAGAGGGGAGGTTTTGCAGGATTTCCGAGGTCAAATGTGCATAATACCTATAAGAAAGGCTCGTTTATAACGTTGACAAAAGTTTTTCGAGCCAAGAAAGAAAGGATAATGCGTGAGAGAAATAGAAAATATGCCGGACTGCCAAGTTTACACTGTTACCCAAAAGATGGTGACAGTGTGTCCTCTCATTGTAAGAGGTTCTAAGGAACCCAGTTTTAAGAGGTCGCAAGAGTGTGAACGGGCCTTTATTCGTAGGAAAGAGTTCTTAAAAGATTTGGCCGTTGGAGGAAGAAGCAATGCGTGTTTGAAGCATGCACCTCTTGACAAGATAACATATCTGGTGTAAAGTGCACCTACACATATCTTAATTCTTTACAGAAAGGGGGAAATTAATTAAAGTAGAAGTTTGGGCTAGTTGGTATTTCATGATTAAAGATTAAAACAGCGCAAGGACACGGACAAGAACAAGAAGGTAGACAAACAAGGCGCTGACTTACAACTGAAGTTTATTCGTTCTAACAGCGAGTATAAATACTGTATTGTCACAACAAACAAACTACTTTTTACTTTTTACAAATTACTTTTTTTATTAATTCTTGAGGTGAAAACGAGACATATTTGAATCTAAAGTTCCAAGGGAAAACATTTCTTCTGTGCAAGTTTCTCCCCGGTCCCAAAAAGCGTTATCACCTTACTTTTTACCGCAGCCCCTTAAAAAGTGTATCTTTTCGAGAGTTTGATCTCCCTCCACGATGATTGATGAGGCACACCATGGTCGTACATAATTCTTTGTTGCCAAGCTCCAGATATTCACCCCAATTGGCAGTGTTCCAAAATACTCGAGAGTGAAAGTGTTGTATCATTTGAAAACCCACCAGTGTCCAGCATAGCTGTGTCGCCAAATGGCATGAATCGCGGAGCAATTTGGATCTGCTCGAACAAGATTCACAGCCCTGGAGTCCCCAGCAGCGACAACTAGGCTAGGAGATGCCTTTCAAAAAAGCAAAAGAGCCTCGGTTTATGACCACGAACGAGGATGCCGTTAGAACTCCTCGGGTGGCTGAGTTGATGGCCACTTGATAGGGGTCTTGGATGCAGAATTCAATGCGTCGCTACATTTCCCCTCACAAGATCAAATATTTGACATCTCCCAAATACCTATCTCGGAAGGCCTTGACCACAAGGGACATCCCTCGGTGCTTGCGCCTGAATGCCGTCCGGCACTTGGAGTCCATGTTCTGCTTAATTCGGTGCCAGTCGTGTTCACCAATGCCGAACTGGTACACCAGGTGACCTGGAGGGGCAAATTGAGGTTTGCTTCGAGCACACCTTCCAAGCACAGGCTCCACCGAGTGCATTTCAAGACAGCAGCCTTAAAGGGAAGCTGAAGTGGTTGTAAATAACACCCGAGCCTCAATAACACCCGAGCCACTACGAATATTGTATTAGTTTGGTTATTTTATGCACCGATTAACGGGAAAAGCGCCTTCAAAGTAGAGTTGAAGCCAAGCCCCTCCGACGCAAAGGGGAGAGAGGAGGAAGCCCGTCAGCCAACGTCACAAAGGGCTTGGGGACCCCGCCGCGGCTGGCCGCGCTTCTCTCGTAGGCTGCTCCTACTGACGTTTCGAGCCGTTGTCATTCTGCCGCTGCATAGCGCTTGCTTTTAGCCACTGACCGGTAGTGCTATTGACACAGTCGCCCGACGTGTTGATTGTTCTCTTGTTTGTTCACAGGTTTCCAGAATTCTCGTGGCACCGAACCAACTGATTTGCGCTGTTGCACGATGCCCTACTCATGTGCGGCATTATGCGGTTCGTCGCAGTTGTTCTTCCCGCTTACCGCCCTTTTCATTCAGACACCGAGATTTCAAAGGGATGGGTTCCCACTAGGGATGCCGCAAACTTTTTTCGAATCGAAGTTTCGATGATCGAATCAAGCGGTTCGAAAGGTTCGAAAGATTTCGATTTTTCGAATTGTCTATATCGTAAAATTCGACGGAGGTCGAATTTTCGAACTTGTTAAGCTAAGAAGTTCGACGCTTTTCGAACCGTCGAACTTATTACGCTAAAAAATTCGATCTTTTTCGAACTTTCGAACTTATTGCGCTGCAAGGTTCGATGCTTGTCGAACTTTCGAACTTGACTGACCAAAAAATTCGATAAATTTCGAACTTTCGAACTTATTTATCAAGAAAATTCGAAAGGTTTCGAACTTTCGAATTCTGAAAAGTCAGAAGTTCGACGAACTCGAACTTATAGGGCAAAAGTTCGACGTTCGTCGAACTTCGAAAGACCGGCGGACGGTTTCATTTGATTTCAAGTAGTGGGGTACATTCGTAATTTTTTTTCTCGAACTTTTACACGCGGTGCTGCGTTCCTTACGAAAGACAATGTCATTTATTTCAATGTTCTGGCATGCTTAGGTTTAAAGAAATAAATCCCCGAAGGGGCGAGGACGGACGACGGGTTTTTGACGATTATCGTTTGTGCCAGATTTGAAGCACGCTGCAGCCGGAGCTATTTATGGTAGATATGTTATACTTTTTTTTAAGAATGATCTATTTATAGCGTAGGTAAGTGCCGTCTTAAGATGTGATTATTGTTATTCAACGTGAGTTTCGAAGAAATGTCCAAACATGTATCTGCATGCAATTATGACCTAAACTTGATATTTATTTTCGTCTAAGTTGTTTGAGGTATCGCATTTAAATTAACACCACAGACAGTACATATCATTGCCATCTGCAGAATACAAAATAATATATTTATTGTTTTTTCACGTTAAGGAATAAATTAACTCATGGCAGAAGATTTCTAGTAGTGTTCAAGTTCAGCACGTCATTAAAAGAAAACTTTTTTTTTTTTTTTCGCTTCACGTTTTTGGGACGTGTTTCTTTTAGCCTGTACACATTTTGGTAAAAGAAACTTGTTTCGAAGTTCTGAACCTCGGAATATGCAAGAATAGAACACTTCCGACGAATTCTTGATAGTTTTTTTTTTTTTTTTCTCCTGCTTTTTATTCCCGCATTTATTTATTTTTTTTTCTTTTGTTACTATCGGCACAGGTGTTTAGGTCGAAAAGACAGCTTTGAACTTCCGAACCACTAAGCATGTGACGAGCAGTGCCTTCTGACAACGAGTTTCTAACAATGACCATCTACGCAACCTTTTATGCAGTGAAGAGCGACAGTAGCTATACATATGCATAAATAATTTCAGATTAAAATAAGCTCGACCACGCCCTCTTTCCCCGTATTGTTTTCTTTAACAGTTCGAAATACCTGCAAGGGGGAGAAGGAGGCTAAAGCCCCCCCCCCCCGCTACTCTCTTTCCCCCCGTTTTTCCTCTTCCGACGCCACTTGTATGGTAGAACGCACCTCGACCTCGAGTTGTGTCGGCTTTTGTGCTTTTTGCGAGGCGATTCCTCCGTCCCAGAAAATAAACCTCCAGTACAATTATAAACTTCACCGGATCGGATTACTACCAGCGTGCAAGGGGTGGCGAGCTAGTTTTCCAGGTCGCTTCAAGGTTTCTCTGAGCCTCAACCTCCTGCTTGCCCCTGGCCGTTTCGAACTGGATGAGTCTCGTAAAACAGTGTGTTCGTGCAATCACTACTGCATGATAAAAACCCGACCCCCCCCCCCCCCCCCGGGGGCTGGCGGTCACAATTCTGCACTGGCAAATATTCTAGCACGTCCGGGACACTCGTCGTCTCATTTAATTGCCTTACCAACTTCGCAGAATCTAGATATCACACCCTAACTTTTCTAAACTTGATTTTGTGAAAACAAGCGAGTCGTGAAAACGTTATTTGAAACTGAAACTGTAGAAAAACTTGAAAATCGGACTTCAAACTTTGAAAACTTGGATTAAAAAAAATTCAAAATCTTCAAAGTTTTTTTTTTTTTTTTTTTTCAATTTAGCGTTAAAAGATAATCGAAACTTTCTAACTTTTCGAACTTTATGCCAAAAGAAATTCGAAATCTTCGAATTGTTCGAACTTCATGTCTATAAAAATTCGAAGCGTTCGAAGTTTTCGAATTTTTTTTACAAAGAATTTCGAAATCTTCGAATTTATCGAACCTGAAGTAAAAAAATATTCGAAATATTCGAATTCGAAATTTTAGAAACCGTGAAAGCTTCGAAATTTTCGAATTCGAAACTCCGCTGTGGACAAAAGTTGCGAATTTTTCGAAATCGAACCTCGGTCGGTACGAAAATATCGAAATTTTTCGAAATCGAACCTCAGTTCGCTTCGCAAATATCGAAACCTTTCGAAATCGAACCTAGGGTGGTTCGCGACATCCCTAGTTCCCACTATGCAAACAGACGAGTTTGGGCAAGCACACTGTTCTTGTTCAGAACGTTCATTCATTCATTCATTTATTATTGCTAGAGGGCCCATTAGGGCATTATACAAGGGGGGTCAATAACACACTAATAATCATAGTTTAAAATAAATTAACGTTCACAGAGAGGAAGTCAGCAATACAGATGAATCAAAGAACAACAAAATACAAGTAGTTATCAACATTACACAATATTATTAATATTTTAACGGTATGCACTCTGAACAGTAAAAAGAAAAAAAAAAATTAGCAGATAGACATGTTTGTAAGTTCCAGGTAATTGATCAGTTCTTCGGCAAATCTATCAGAGTTAGTCTCGGTTACAACGTTATCGGGTAATTTATTCCAGTCCTTGATTGTCATGGGCAGATAGGAATTCTAAAATGCTACAGTTGAACTAAAAATCGGGCGAACTTTGCGGGAGTTATCATGGCGGAGAGATATGCTGTAGGGTGGAAGGAAGAGGGATGCTCTAATAGAGGCATTATTATAGTATAATTTATGAAACAGGGTTAGTCGAGAAAGAATGCGCCTAAATGAGTGTGTGTGAAGGTCAGCTTTGCTCCTTAGGTCTGTTACGCTAGTGCAACGAGAGTAGTCTGAGAAAATGAACCTTAAAGCTCTGTTTTGAATTGCCTCTAATTTCATAACTAGGTAATGCTGCCATGGGGACCATACAGAAGACGCATACTCTAGACGAGATCTAACTAATGTTATGTGTGATAATTGTTTAATTTCAGGTGAGGCCAGTTTGAGGTTGCGCCGAAGATATCCTAATGATGAATTAGCCTTAGATGAAATAAAGTTAATGTGAGTTGCCCAAGATAGATCACACGTTAAATGAACGCCGAGGTATTTATAAGATGTACAGGGGTCAATTATTGTGTCGTTGAGTTGATATGAGGACTGTGATCTGGTGAAAGACACTAGTTTCGTTTTATTTACATTAACAGTCATTTGCCATGTTTGACACCATTCTTCTATTATTAGTAAGTCAGCCTGTAAGAGTAGGTGATCATTATTATTACTTATCGGTCTGTATAGAGCACAATCGTCAGCAAAGAGGCGAATTTCAGATGTTAGGTTAGCAGGAAGGTCGTTAACGTATATTAAAAACAGTAACGTCCGGTGTACCTTGGGGTACACCGGACGTTACACGAGAAAGAGGTGAGCGGGACTCGTTTACAACAGTATATTGTGGACGATCGGAGAGGAAATTTTTTTATCCAAGTGATTACTGAATTATGAATACGCAGTTGGGTTAGTTTTGGTAGCAGACGTTGGTGGGGCACTTTATCAAATGCTTTAGAAAAGTTTATGAAAATGAAATCGGTCTGTAATCTCTTGTCAAGGTTACTGTGAAGCTCATGAATGAAATGTATTAGCTGGGTATCACACAAATATGTCTAATGAAAACCATGTTGATTTTTAAAAAGCAGATCGTAATTTTCCAGATATTTCATGATAGAAGAGAAAATGACGTGCTCTAGTAATTAACATGAGATGCTGATGCGAGATATTGGGCGATAGTTCGATACAACATTACGATCCCCACTTTTAAAAATAGGGATGACTCTACCAATTTTCCAGTCAGACGGAAGCTTGCCGACATCAAATGACTCTTGAAAAAGAAGGGTTAAAAATTGGGATGAGATATGTTTTGTGTTTTTCAGCAATTTAGAATTTATTTGGTCATCACCGGAGCTAGCAGAAGTTTTGAGATTTTCTATCGCTTTCACTATACCCAAATATGTTATTTCGATAGAAGGCATAGCAGAATGAGAAAGGTGATTTAGGAGAGGAACATAGTCATTGTTTTCTAATGTAAATACTGAGCTAAAGTAGGTATTTATTAGTGAGGCGCTTTCGCTATGAGATGCGGGAGTTCCATTCATATTAGTCAGGTGGATGGATCTATGGTCTTTAGGATGAATGATTTGCCAGAA